ACTAACAAAAAGACCAGTTTAATGGTTAGAAAATCATAAGACACCTTCATGAGCGGTTCAAATGGAGGGCCTATAGTGGCACTGAGAATCTGGTTAAGATCCCATGCAAGAACTCTGTGCACTGTAGGAGACCATAAAAGGGATGTCTGTCCACCCCCCCCCCCTCAAAAAAGCATACCTCTTCTGGGCAAGATGAAATCCACTACTTGTCTGTTGTGCTAAGGACATTAGACAAAGCAGTAACTTGACTTTTGAGTGTTGGCCTAGCTTAAGTCCATCTTGAAAAAATTCAAGGATTCATGGTAGCAGAGAACCCCTTGTCCTGGTACCAATGGGTAAACCTCAGCCAGGTCCTTAAATCCACCGAGTTAGTAGATTTATTTCTGAAAGCTAAACGTGTGGATATTACCTCTTCTGGCTAACCTTTTTGGCTTAAAAGGCTCTATTCAAAAACCTGGATTCTTATTACAAGGAACAATTATGCATATTAGGGTACATTACACAGCAAAAAAAATAAAGAAATTAAAAAATAAAAACAGAATCCTGGCAGCGAGTCTCAACTGATTTGGACTCATGCTATGGGGCTAAAAATAGCAATGTAGATGTTAGGGCTCAGGCTGGAGGCCTGACTCTGAGACCCTCATCCCTAACTAGGTTTCAGAGCCAGAACATCTACACTGCTATTTTTAGCCCCACAGCATGAGCCCGAGTCAGTTGACTCAGGTGCCAAGACTCAATACCAGGGGTTTTGGTTTTTTGTGTTTGTTTTTTTTTCTGGGTAGATGTATCTTTAGATTGCCTTCCAGATGGAAGGTCTTTGTGTGCTCTTGTTGCCAAGAAGGCTAACGGCATTTTGGGCTGTATAAGTAGGGGCATTGCCAGCAGATCGAGGGACGTGATCGTTCCCCTTTATTCGACATTGGTGAGGCCTCATCTGGAGTACTGTGTCCAGTTTTGGGCCCCACACTACAAGAAGGATGTGGAAAAACTGGAAAGAGTCCAGCGGAGGGCAACAAAAATGATTAGGGGTCTGGAGCGCATGACTTATGAGGAGAGGCTGAGGGAACTGGGATTGTTTAGTCTCCAGAAGAGAAGAATGAGGGGGGATTTGATAGCAGCCTTCAACTACCTGAAGGGGGGTTCCAAAGAGGATGGAACTCGGCTGTTCTCAATGGTGGTAGATGACAGAACAAGGAGCAATGGTCTCAAGTTGCAGTGGGGGAGATCTAGGTTGGATATTAGGAAACACTATTTCACTAGGAGGGTGGTGAAGCACTGGAATGCGTTACCTAGGGAGGTGGTGGAGTCTCCTTCCTTGGAGGTTTTTAAGGCCCGGCTTGACAAAGCCCTGGCTGGGATGATTTAGTTGGGAATTGGTCCTGCTTTGAGCAGGTGGTTGGACTAGATGACCTCCTGAGGTCCCTTCCAACCCTGATATTCTATGATTCTATGATTGTGCCATGTTGAGGAGATTGAGAACCAAGGCCTCATTGGCTAGAATAGGACTACCAGAATTACCACAGCTGGCTCTCTTCTGATCTTCTATAGAGTTCTGGTGACGAGAAGAAAGGGAAGGAAGTCATATCTTGCTATCTTTGTGACAAGGCATCTGTTGCTTTAGATTTGTGATTCCACTGGCAAGAGAAGAACACTGAAAATTTGTAATTCAGGTGGGAAACAAACAGATCTATCACTGGGAGACTAAATTCCTTTAGCAGAAAGTGGAACACCTCTATGTGTAGTTCCCATACTGAATGGTCTAACTTATGCCTGCTGAACGAACTACAATAATTTTCCTTTGGTTATGAAGGAAGCAAAGTGACTCCAGATTCTTCTTTACACAAATCATCAGGAGGTGAGGTTCCCTTAGGACTGTTGGCATGTGACATGGCTCAGGTGTTGTCTGTCATGATCAGCACATGCGGGAGGCTTGTGAACAGAGACTTGAGACCACAGCCAATTACCTAGAGTTCTCTCCAGTTTTACTGTGCTTGCTGTCTTGTTTGGACCAGATCCCTTGAACAATCTTCATCCCTGTCTGAGCACCCCATCCCTTCAGATTGCATCTGTGGTGATAACTGTCCTGACTGGGTCACTTTTTGGGAAGCCTGACTGGAATCTGCTCAGACTCATCCAACATCTGAATAAGTTGAAAATCTCCTAAGGAGAGAGACCTTCACTGAGCAGAAGAGAAGAGGAAACTCATGCAAGCACAGGATCACTAAGACTATCCACATAGGAGATCACTGATCCCAGAAGCAACAGAAGCTCATCAGTGGGTACTTCCCTTGAGAGGTTAAATGTTTTGATAAGATTCCTCAGAAGTCTTTTCTGCCATAAGAAACTTTGTGGAGGACACAGCCTGTTTCCATTCTGAGACAGTGAATTCGCAGAGACAGTTTTAACTAACTGTCATAAAAGCATAGCTGCTCTCCAGAATCCTTATCAGGTGGGTGCTGCTGTCTATGAACCTGACTCTGGGTGAGGTCACCCAGCAAGGGGTAGACATAGAACCAGCAGGGAGAAGCCCTTAGGCCACACAATTTCCCTTCCCCCTTTTTTTTTTCTTCCCAAGGTTGAGGGGGACGATACTTGCAATACTGTCCATCCACTTTAGAATTGCCTGTTAGAGACTGCAGAGGCCCTGGGGGTAGCCGAGGACAGTTCATATTTGTTTATGTTGTAGGCCTGATGCACCCTGACAGTTTTCATGCTTGAGAAGCTTCACAGGCCTTTTGATATTTTGCTTCAAACTATGCTACCCCAAAGGAGAGAAGGGAGCTGCCACTCATGCTGGGCCTGGGGCAGCTGCCTGTGCCAGCCTAGGTGATTTTGTTACCACTGCTTCCTGGGTGCTCTCTGTGTCAAGGAGGGATGGCGGCAGGAAACCCTGCCTTAGCTTGAGAAGGGCCTGGGTCTCCACAGAACAGAGACAACTCTCCACCAAGGCATTCAGTCACTAGGGAGGTGCTGGAGACAGTTTCTGATTTTCCTTCTCTACTTGGCCTTTTCCACTATGCTGCAGGGGAAGCATATCTATAGGGGTGAGCAGGAGGCATGGAGAGTCCCAATAACTATGAGGAGAAAAGGAATCCCCTCTGCTGATAAAGGCAGACCCCAAAAGCCTGGAGATATAAGCCTTTCTTCCCACCTCTTTTCTCTTCTTTGCCTTTGTTCTGAAGCAGGGAGGAGCTGGTCTGCCTGCCTGCAGCTAAGAAAGCAGATGAAAAATTGGCAGTTTCTCAGAGGTGGGGTCACTGCTCTCCCGGCATTGACTGACCAGTTCAGTATGTCTCCTTGGCTACATATAGCAGAGACCCAGTGTCATGGATCTGTGGAACTCATTATGAATAAGGATTGAAGATTTAAAGAGATGGAGAAACCACCACTTCTCTGGGTAGTTTATTTCAATGGTTAATCACCTTCACTGTTAAAAATCAGAGCCTTATTTCAGTTTTTAACTTCCGGCCATTAATTCTTATTCTGCTAGATCAGGGATCAGCAACCTTTGGCACGCGGCACGCGCCCCTTCCCACAGCCTCCATTGGCCTGGGACGGCGAACCGCAGCCAGTGGGAGCCGCGATCGCCCAAACCTGCGGACGCGGCAAGTAAACAAATCGGCCGGGCCGATTGCCAAAGGTTGCCGATTCCTGTGCTAGATTAAAGAGCCCTTTAGCGTCTGGTATTTTGTCCACAGGAAGATACTTGTACACCAGAGGTGGGCAAACGATGGCCTGCAGGCCACATCCGGCCCGTGGGACCATCCTGCCCGGCCCCTGAGCTCCCGGCCCCTCCCCTGCAGTCCCGCTTTCCCCGCAGTCACGCCTCCGCACAGGCAGTGCTCTGGGCGGCGGGGTTGCGTGCTCCTGCCAAGCAGAGCGGCAGCGTGTCTGGCTCTGGCTGGGCGGCGCAGCTGCCAGACATGCTGCTCTCAGCGGCATGGTAAGGGGGTCGGGGGTTGGATAAGGGGAGGGAGGTCCCGGGGGGCAGTCAGGGGGCGGTTGAATGGGGCAGAGATTCTGGGGGGCGGTCAGGGGATGGGGAGGGGGGCTGGATAAGCGTGGGAGTCCCCGGGGGGCCTGTCGGGGGCGGGGTGTGTGGATAGGGGTCAGAGCAGTCAGGGGACTGGGAGCAGGGGGGATGAATAGGGGGTGGGGTCTCGGGGGTGGTTGGAGTGGGGGGTCCCGGGAAGGGGTGGTTAGGGGACAAGGAGCAGGGGGGGTTGGATGGGTCAGGGATTCTGAGGGGGGCAGTCAGGGGGCGGGAAGTGGGAGGGGTCAGATAGGGGGCGGGGGCCAGGCTGTTTGGGGAGGCACAGCCTTCCCTACCCGGCCCTCCATACAGTTTTGCAACCCCAATGTGGCCCTCAGGCCAAAAAGTTTGCCCACCCCTGTTGTACACTAATCAAGCAAGCGCTAAATCTTCTTTTTGAGAAGTTAAATTGATTGTGCTCCTTAAGTCTCTCAGGGTATGTCTAGACAGCAACTGGGAGTGAGCCTCCCAGCCCAGGTAGGCAGACTCGCGCTAGCCGCTAAAAATAGCTGTGTGGACTTTGGGTTCCAGCAGAGAGTCAGGCTAGCTACCTGAGCTGTAGTCCACACAACCCCCATGGCTTGAGCTCTGGTTGCTAGACAGAGTGTCCTCCACACAGCTATTTTTCAGTGCGCTAGCCTGAGCTCTGCTAGCACAAGTCTGTCTATCCGCACCGCAAGGTTCACTTCCAGTTGCAGTATAGACATGCCTGCACTGTAAGACATTTTGTCCAGCCCTCAATTCATTTTTGTGGCTCTTCTCTGCACCCTCTCTAATTTTGCAAAGCCTTATTTTTAAAATGTGGATTCCAAAACTGGATGCTGTATTCCAGTAACAGTCTAACCAATGAGCCACACAGAGGTAAATTCACTTCTCTGCTCCTACTCTCTATTCCCGTATATACATCCAAGGATGACATTAACCCTTTTCCCCACAGCATTGCCATCTACTACTATAAACAGACTACCTTTACAGTTGGAAAACCTTGTTGTGTCCTGTCTTTCACTGAGCCTCGGCTGCCCTCAGTCAAATACCGAGCTCTGTGCTGGGTCTCCGGCTGTACCACAATCTTCAGCTCTTTGCCTTCACTTTTAGTAGGATACTGACCACACAACATCGGGCTCTTCTTCCCTCCGGCTCCTTTCTGGCTTTCTGATGCTCTGAGAAGTCAAAGCAGACCATTGAGAACATGTTAAAAGAAGTTCCCATATTAAAAAAAAAAAAAAAAAATCAATGCAAAGGGCCATAGATAAAACAAATAAATTGGCAGGTGAAATATTTATAAGAGCAAATGTTTACGCTAGACTTGTCTCACTGACAGAGAAGGAACTCTGGAGGGTAAGGCAGAACAACTATTCCGTTGCCTCCATTCTATGAAAATATGAACTGTTTTTCACATAAATAGCAAAGGGGAAACCAATTAGCGTTACCAGAATAAGTTAATAATAGGAGGAAGGCACATAGCCTATCCTCTCCCCAGTATATTGTATAATCAGAAAATGTAGGGAAAATGATATGCATATTTGTAATATGACCTAAAAGCTCAACAGAATTAAGGTTAAATGATATACATTTCTTCTTAGATAGAAAAACAGCCTCATGCCTGTCTCCTCCTGAATTTGCATGACCATGCAAGTTCACAACTACTATTTGGCAATTTCTGTCAAATCAAATTGAGAAATTTATATGAAAAAGCTGTTTCAAAAGTATTTGGCTTGAGCAGAGGTGCCATAATTGCACTGACTTTAAAAGAAATGCAGTGCATGCAACAAGACCATCTTTTCCCAGGTGTGTGGTCTTCAAATGTACTGTATCTTGTGATCAGTTCCATAATTAAAACCTGAATGAAGAAGCCCTCCAAAGTATAACACTGCACAATCAATTTTTTTGTCCATTTTAAAGGATCAAGAAAGAATGTCTCACTGACCTTATACAGTGGAAGTTTGTAGAATATCATGAACCAAAGTCTGCTAAACACATTTACCAATAGTGAACAGAACTATTCCCCTGGCAACTAGGGTTGGCTGGGAGAGGCCTGAATCAGTTTATGCAGAATGTAAGCTTTAACTTTATCAACAATTAGTTTCTGCATTTATGGATGTGAAGAAACCCTTCTCAATGTCAACTAGCCAGTGTTGCCTTCTTGAGTGCATGGATAGCCTGAAATAAGGGAAACGTGTGAGATTCTTAAGGAACGCTGTTTCAAGGCACCTCGTTAGCAATTTGGCTGGGGAAGGAAAGGAAATCTCTTCTTCCTCAAGGCCACTCACTGATGGTGGACCTATTTCCTGGAAACTTAGCCTCTCCAGGCTTAAGGCTGGCAATTTGCACTCTGATTAGAAGAGGTGATAGCCCATGGATTTACACAATGGTGGATCTGCAAAGTATCACCCAGCCTGAAATTCTCACTGTACAATACCACAGAGCAAGGCTCCATAGTCTACAGGAAATGCACATCTTCTTTACAGGTTTCCCCAACTCCTTGACTAACCCCTGTATAGCTGAACCACAGTAGTTTTGCTACAAGACAGGCCTTCATTGCTGTAGAGGAGGTTGCAAGTTTTTCCCTTAATACTTCTACATATCTGATTTTCCACAAGGTTTCATCCATCATGCTCTCCCCTACACCAAACCTTGTAAGACCCTTGAACACTCGCAACAAGTATGAATAATCTTCTGACTAAGGATCTAGTGGATGATTTATCAAGGGCTGCAGAAACTTAATTGTGTGTGTTTATGAAATTTAACCTCTCAAGACTCAAACTGTCGTATGAGCCTGTTTTTTATTAATTCTGAGCATAGAATCCCAAAGTGCTTCACCAGACCTGTTTTGTAGGCTTGTTTTCAAATTAAAAGAAAATATGTAGAACTTAGAGGTTATAAAAGCATACAAATTGCAATAGTACCATTTTATGGCAAGAAATCCTCATGGTTCAGCTTCAGTGTAGCCAAACAGGCTGTTACCACAAAAACCCCTTCAGTTTTATTTTTATCCAGTTTTTTTATTCTACAGAAATCCTCTTCCAGTTGGGACAATGTACACAAGTTCAATGAAACACTAAGTAAACAAATGTAGAGAGCAGTATGATTTACATTACTGGCCTAGTTAATCAAAAATACTAACTACATTCAAGGTTTTTAGATTATCAATTCTCCATATTTTCTGTTAGGAACTTATTCCAGTATACTAGCAGTTGAAAGATAGATGTTAAGTTTTGAGTCAGTACATTTTCTCTGCTTTTCATGACATCCAGAATTTTAAATCATGTAATTAAACATGGGAATCAGAAAAGGAATGTTAAGCAATTTAATCATCATGAAAGTATAGTCATATTGTTCAGAGCTCTGAGATTGGGATTCACATTTCTTTGCCTTTACAGCTCACCTAATTACCTATAATGTCACAAGAGAATTCTCAATGCAGAAACATATGGGTTACACATTTTGATCTCTCACACTCAGAATTCCAGCTAAACAGATTATTGAAGGAGACTTAAAGATCATAGAAATTTTGATGGGAAGAACAAACAGACATGTGACATATTAAAAGAATATACACATTTAATACTTTGTCCTCCCTGGACTACCTATGTGTTTTCTTTAATTATTCTACTTTTGAATCCTGAGTTACCTTGCTTGGTAACATACTCCACATATACTGTGTTATTTTTGTTTGAAGAGGTACTGATTGCCAATTATTTGGAATATTTTCCCCTTAAGTCTCTTGAAATTATGGTTATCATTTTCAATCTAATTAGCTATAGTAGAGAGGAATTTTAAATATTTCACTGGAATCCCTCTCATTTGTCCCTGTTCCCAACTATAAAGGAGAGCTGGTACTTCTACACTGTCCTTCTAAATTCAGTTACCTTTTACTCCCAGAATCAGTGGCATTCCATTTTCCATGCCTGTGCAAACAGCAACAGCAATATTTTCCATATACTAATTTATTAATTAGCTTAACGGGTATCAGAACCAAACAAATCATTCTGACTGGCATGGTCATTCAAACGAACTGCCAAAGCCAAATGCTTTTATTAGAATACATTCCATGACGCCCACTCAATATCTCAACGTTCTATTTTTGTTTTATTTGTTTCTTCATTTTGTCCTGATAATTTAAAATGTGCACCATCTGAACCACAGCTGGTCCAAATGAAGACTTGAGACTAATAGTGAGACAGAGACTTGGCATGATTCCAATGGAAGAACAGGAATCCTCCTGTTTGCCCTGGAAAATCATTAAAAAATCAAAGCCTTTTAAAAAAGCTTTCACAAACTCTCTTCGCAGTTTCTATGGAAGTGGGTTTTTTTTCCCTAGCTCTGACAGAAGATTAGAAGTCTCTTCTGAGGCAGCTAGTATTTCCATTGCATGAACTAGTGTATATAACAAGTGTCATCACCCTCCCTCTTCTCCTGAAGCCAAAATGTGAGTCAACTAGCTTGGCTGAGCTCCACTAGGCAGAAAAGCAAAACAAACAAACAAACAAAAAAAACCACACTACAGTCAATCCTACAATCTGTGTTTGCAGTGCTGAATCTCTGTACTCTAGATGTACATGTTCCCCCCCTCCCACCATTTCCATATACTACCCACTTCTGATACTAAAGCATCTACTTTTAACTAGAATCTGCTACCTGGAACTTTATCAAAGTTTTTCTTACAATCTAGATATATTGCATAATGCATACTACTATAATCAACCTTGTCCCCAATGTTCTAAAAGCTTAAGGCTATATAAAAATAATCTTTCCTTTATTAATGCATGCTGCTTAGCTCCTGTTACGGTAGTAATGAACATTTTGCTAGCTTCTTCATTATTAACGCTACAGAGGTCATATGTCTGTAGCTTACTAAGCCTGTGCTCCCTGTCTGGAGAAAACTTCTACGCACACACAATTCTTGTCTACAGGAAAAGCACTTCTTCCCATGGTAACTGATAATTGCCTTCTTTCCTGTAAGCTTGGTGCAACCTTGTTTTCTAGCTTTCCAAACAACGTATTTATTAATTTGAGACGCTACAAATCAATTTTAAAGACTTAATATTTCACAGTATTATAACTTTTTCCTGGTGAACTTATCGCCAGGATGTTGGACTGTTTCACTGATACGTCTAGACCATTTGTGGTAAACAGACACAAAAAACTGTTCCATTGATTAAGTACTTTTTTGCAGAAGGCAGGAGAAAAAGACTGGGTGGCAATATTTACTCTACATCCTTTGGTGAGCCTGGTTCTCATATTACCAAATGAGATCTACCACGAAGCTGCAGACCACTCTGGAGAGTTTCTTAGAATCACTTTCTCAAAGCAACATTTTAAGTATGGAACTGCAATGACCCTGGGAATACAGACAAAAGGCTGGTTCCCTTAGGAATATGAAAAGTTCATCTTTCCAGTCAGTCATATTTTAATGTTCACCATTCCAGTGATGAACATTAGAACACATTGCAAGCACATACATAAAAGTAAAAAATAAATCTACCCACTTGACTGCAGTATAAAAATAAGTACTAAAGAAGCCACAGGTAAAAAAACAAAAACAAAATACCCCCAATAAACTACTGTAAACTCATGGAGGTTTTCTCTCTCTAAAGCAACTACTGAAATGTATTTAGTAAACAGTGTGAAGTGGTAGAGATGAGAGAACACCACCCAGGCGTGCCCACATACGAACACACACATGCACACAACCCAGAAGCACAGAGAGAAACAGGATTAGAGATTTATTTCTGAAAATCAAATACAGAAGTGAGTTCACATGAAAAACAAAATTTGGTTCAGCATATAATCTTAACATTTTATCAAACAAAAAGTGAAAGACGTGTTAATTTAAATGCTGAAAAATCTTAACAAGCAATTAACTTCTATATCCATCGCTCTCTCTATTTGATAAACAGAAAGAGAGAGACAGACAGAAGCAGATAAAATGTATCAACTGAGATCCTCACATAAAAATCTGAACAAGGTATTTTTAGGAAGACAGTGTAGAACAGTTCTAAGATCTCTTCAGTACTTATAGCTCTTTTTAAATAGACTTTTTACAGATGGAGCCATAGAATTAAAAAGTTTTCTATCCTTTGGGAATCTCAATCCATTGGGGAAAAAAGCTTGGATAATCTCACCAGTACTGGACTGAATCACTAAGCCTAGAATATGTTATATTGCAATAAATCTTAGCTTTACTTCTCTGTAAAGCTTAGCAATTTTAGAATAAACGCATGAGCTAAGATATAAAAGGGAAGGAGAGGCTGTGTTTATGTGAAAACCTGAGTAGAACACTTGAGAAAAATCAGGAATATGTTTTATTAGCTTGGTGTTACATATGGTGATAGAACTTTAAAAAATGTAGATACCAACCCATTTCCTGCTTTTGAGTTGCCTTTGCTGTCCGTGCTGAGCTGAGAAAGGACATAGTGAGGAGCTTTGGCACTGTCGGCATCAAATATATCCATGCTGGATCCTTCACAATCTCGACGTTTGATCCCTGGCCTCTGCTTTGGATTTCGTTTGCGTGATTTACGTGGCACCTCAGTGTTATCATTGTAGGAACTGGTGCTCATGTTACTGAAGTTGGAGGGGGAATCCTCCATCCACATAATGCAGCTCTGCTCTGATTCCAATCCACACCCTTCATCTTGGCAGGACATCTGACTGTTATCCAGCAAATCCTCAGGTGGTGGTGAGATGTACAGGACTGTATGTCTCTTCGGCATTGACTGTTGCTGCTGGATTGTGTTACTGGTTAACTGCTTTTCACTTACCCCTCGGTTACTTACCCCCACGGCTGAGGAGCAGCTCTCCACTTGCATAGCCTTGCTGTCGGTGACTGAGGTAGAGTAAATGGTAGGACTGGAAGAGGTGGTAAAGGAGCTGCAAGCACCGCCCATGGAGGAAGAGGAGGGAGCTGAAGAAGCATCTGCGGTGTATAATTCAGAAGTAAATACAAGATACATGTTTGCACCTGTGCTGGCTATAGCAGTCCCATTGAAATAATGTGATTTGTGAACTGATTTTTCCCCCAAATGAAAATTTGGAATTTGGTAAGTTTGAGAATGTAAATGCTTCAAGCAATACAAGGTCTAAGCAATACAATATTATTTTTGAAGTGTCCAAATGGTACTTAAACTTTTGAACTATAATCAGTTATGTTTTTAGTTAACTTTAAGTCATAAAAAAGGCTGCAAGCAAACAACAAGGCTTTTATTGCTTCAACTGGACTAATCATTTGAGCGTAAGCCATTTTATCTAAAACAATGGAAACCCCAATGCAAAATGTATGCTTGTAGTCCACATTCAATGCCAATTAAACCATTCATTATTAGAATTTTTTGAAAAGACGGGACTGTGCTTAGCCACAAAATATTAAAATAAGTTTCTAACCTATGAAGCAGAGAACTACAGGTCATTTTTAATGCAGACACTCCCTGCTTCAGAGGCAAATCCTGGAATAAAAATATGAGAAAATAAATGAGAAAATTGCTGCTGATTCCAGATATCAATTATAAAATGAGAAATAAAATATAAAATCAAATGAATTGTAGGCAAAATGGAACTGGTACCAGTCACTATGATATGGGTTGTTTATTGTGTAGGTTCAGAACAGGGACAAAACTGATTTGTACCATGCTTAGCATGGAAAGATACAAGGCCACTAGGAATTCAGAGGCTGAAGAAGTCAGCATCAGATTACATACCCCCATCTCCCAGGAACTTGTTAACTGGTCCCCTTAAATACAGAGAGTTAAAAGCCATACAGAACCAATGAGGTGACAGAACTCTTAGTTCAATCATGCCTCAGTGTCCTCAGGGACATTAACAGGGTCCTACTCCTACCTACCCACCTACTCTAGCAAAAATTATTTGACTAACTAAACTGGGAACCCTATAGATCAGACTGCCCTTGAGACAGGAAAGCAGGGCTGAGGGTTCAACAAAAAAAAATCAGAAGATTTTTGAAGAGCAACAGGATCATTTCTACTAAAGATTTTTTTTTTTAAGTAAATCTCTCAAAACTTGACATATCAATCAGCAAGTGAGCAAAAAGAAAGAAGGTTAAAATTCAAGTAGAAGTTTTCAATGATAGCAGCTCATTGCAGAACAACTCACAGAACTTTATGTTTTACATTAGATTGTAAGCCCTCCAGGGAAGGAGCTATTATCTTCTGTTTTTATAGTGCTGACCACATCAAAACTCAAGCAACAAATACCACCACCACAAACTTCAATGGGAAATAAACCTACACTGGAATATCATAGTTAAATAGTCATTACTGCAGTATTAAGGGTAATATCTGCTGTAAGGAGGAAATCAGGTTTTTTGGGGTGTTTTAAATCCAAAGGCAGGAGTCTCCGATAAACCACTCAAATTATGAAATTATTTCCATAATGTGGAAATTCAATTAATTAATCTGTATTCTAACCATCTTGGACCACTCTGAGGAAATCTCAGAAAATTTAAAAAAGGGGGGAAAACATTTTTTTGTTTAACCATGAAGTGAATATTTATTTTCAGGTATGGTAAAAATGAGAAAACCATAAAAAAATCAGTGTATTTGGTAATTAAAATTGAAGCATCAGAACCATATGAAGTCTCATTAAAAATGAAGGTTGTTTTTAAAACAAACAACTTAATTGGATGTTTTTCTGTTCTAAGTGAAATGAAAAATAATCCCTATCTGTGGTTAAGTTTTAAGAGAAATTTAGTTGTCAGTACTGTTTATCAATAAATTACTCTTTCAGCTATGTAGAAAGAGACTCCCCTCCTCCACCTCCTGGACAAGCTGAATGATACCAGTTCCATTTTCCAGTTTGTTCCTTGGTAAATGTAGTGGCTGAAGCTGGATGATTCAGTCACTGTGAACTGCATTCAAATTTAAAGACAAATTTATCTGTTTTGTAGCATGCATTAATACAATGCTTCTTCTTTAGAAACATTTATAAAATTGGAAAAAACTTCTTCATCTAGATATTAATTTCAGTGACAATATTTAGGAGCTGATTTGCAACCACTTTGAGTTGAGAAAGATTGTTACCATACATGTTTTTACCACCTTGTTTTGTTAGCAACAACAGCATTAGTTTCTATTTAGTATTTGTAAACTCACCCACATAGAAATAAAAGTGTGCAGCACACACACAGCATGTGTGCTGCATGCAGGGTTTGCAAGTGGAATACATGAAGCATACAGCAATAATGCTGCAGACTTTTCCTGCTCACAGCAACATTTTCCCTTCTTAGGTATCAATCCGTTTACAAATTAAACAAAACGCCATGCACAACGGAATGCAGAATATGAACATGTCATGATCTCTGCCCATGACAAAGACTTTAACTGGAGTAATAAACAATTACACAGCTGACCCTTGAGTCAGATAACAAAGTTCTAAAATTGGGATAAAGGTGATCACCCTTCTGCAGAATTTAGTGTTAAAGATTACTGTGAAAATGTTTTGTAGCAAATATTAAAGTAAACGTTAAATGAGCGCTTCTAAAGAAGCATTCATGTGAAAAACCAAAGCAGCAGAATTTAGCACTTTATACATGTAAGTCTGCATTGGGACAGGTACACCAAATGGTGATCATATCCTGCATTTAAAATAGAAATCCAACAGATGAATTTTACCTTAATTTTTGTGGAAAAACTATTTAAACAATATTATTTATTAGCACAAAGCTAAATAGCTGGTAACACCAACACTGTCTGAGGTCACCAGCGAACCCTATTTCAAACTTTAATCATAAATACTACCAAGTTCCAAAACAAATTTCCTCCGTATTTTTAAGAGAATTTGAAGGAAATATATATTCTCCTAGAGGGACCAGTTGCACTGTATTCCAATTAGCAGGGATGCCCTGTGTATCGGTAATGTGGGAAACAAATGGTAAACTAAACGAATACTGTTTAATACAATCCAAATATCTTTCTCTTTTGCTATATATTCTCAAAAGTATTCAAATATCGTCCATTAATATGCAACTGTTAAAATATGTATAGCTTTGTAAAGTTCAGTGTTTTTCCTATCATACCTCAAAAATATACAAAAAGCAGCATGAGGATCACGCCAATCAAAGAAGCAGATCATTTATTTTCTGCCCTTATACAAAAACAGGCAAATTTGAAATGTATTTTTGAGGCTAAATCAGTGTAAATGTACTTTCTAAACATTTCAAGTTATGCCACTAGTAAAAATGATGCAACTATTTCATGTTTACAGGTAGAGCCAATAGGTCTCCAGCCAATTCATCTTCTTCCTAGTTTAAAGAGTAAACAAGCAGGATCTGCCAGGTATGAATTCATGAAGTTACTATAATGAATAACAAACCAACATATTTTACAGAATTTCATTTTGTTTTTTTAAACTCTAAATATATTTGGAGCCAGTGACAATCTATGCATACATCTGATACACAAAAGGGATCCCTTGGTTGAATATGCTGCATTTAAACATTCTTTATTCTAAGTTTTCAATACTTTAATCTTCATTGGTCCTGTTTTAAAACTTGAGAGCATTTTTCCATTTCCTACTTTTTGAGAAATTATCCAACAGAAAAAGGAATTGTTCCCTAGAGTACAGGAATTGAGCATACAACAACCAGAACGTCAGAAAAACCTCACTTGTGTCCTGGAAAATTAGAGTACAAACACAGGCCTTTCCCAATTTAAGCATTTTCTTTTTGACTTAGAGTGTAAATTATTCACCGTAGAAACACATTAGGCTGCTATTTTTATCTGATAGCTTAGTTACCTGTGCTTTAACTGTGCTTACCAAAACCCACAAATATTAATTTTGTTTACACCTCTACCCCAATATAACACGACCTGATATAACACAAATTCGGATATAACACGGTAAAGCAGTGCTCCAGGGGGACGGGGCTGCGCACTCCGGTGGATCAAAGCAAGTTCGATATAACGCGGTTTCACCTATAACGCGGTAAGATTTTTTGGCTCCCGAGGACAGCATTATATCAGGGTAGAGGTGTACTTAGATATTGTTACTATATTCTGTATTTGCACATTTGAAATAAAGACTGAATATTAATAAGACTTAGCTACAGTTTTCTTAAAATTATATTAGAATTACAATTTTATATGATAAGCCAAGTGAATTTTTTGATGGGGTATGCAGCCACAGGACCATAAAAGCAAATAAAACAGGTCTGAAAGTGTATTCTGTATTTAAATCCTTTCAGATTAGAGCATGGTGGGTCATTGTTAGAAACTAAAACCCTTTGAGCTATTCTGAAAATCATCTCTACTCCGTATGAAATTAGTAGAAATGAAGAAATTAACTTTCATAATCTGTTGCCTCTGCTCCTGCAAATATTTCTCCATAAAGTCAAAAAGATTGATACAGAACAAGCGGTTTAACACAAGGCATTTCCTGTTCTCTTTCAGGTAACACAATTTACACATTAATAGTCAGATGCAATTCTATAGTTTGTATATGAAAGAACCTAAACTAACCAAGAATTGTAACTTAACATATTTGGTCAGTGCTGGAGTTTATAATGTAAATCAAGAAAGAACACCTATTTCTCTGCACTATTTCTAGAAGGACTGATGCATAATTTCCAGTTGGTCATGGCATTAGTTCACCCATGTTTGCTTCCAACAGGCTGAAAGCTGCCTATTATCCCAACTGCCCATCTCACTTTCAGGGCAGTAAAGCAGTATTATTTTCATAGCCTCTTCTTTCTACGAATTGGAATAATTTAGGTTCTTTCTGAAAATAAAAAGCAGCCAGAAAGCAGGCAGTGGGAAAAGGGGATGCAGTGCCCATGTGGCACAAATGCATGCTACCAAATTCACAGGCTAGTATCAGGAAGAGTGGAATGCATAGCAAAGAGCATCCCCATGTGCAAATGAGTGCAGGATTTTGTTTTACAATTTGTTTATTGAAAAGGAAAGAAAC